GTATTTATTTAACGTCGCTTCTCCCAGAGCTCTAAATAGCGCAAAACTACTGCAACCACGGCCCTCCCAGGGACATGAGCTCTTGTAGGGATCCTCCCAGGGACAGGAGTTCTCCCAGGGCCCGTGCCATGGGCGGTGGCACCCCTACAGGCTCATCCAGGGACATTGGCTCTCTCAGGGGCTCTCCGAGGAACAGCAGCGCCTGCAGGGACCGTGCCAAGGGCGGTAGCGCAAGCCAGGACGCTCCCAGGGACAAGGACGCTCCCAGGGGCCCTCCCAGAGATGGCGGTACCCCCATTGACTCTCCCAGTGACAGCAGCGCCCCAGGGGCCCTCCCATGGACGACGGCACACCCAGGGGCCCTGCAACAGGCGGTGGTGCCCCCAGGGACCTTGCCAGAGTCAGTGGCGTCCTCAAGGGCCTTGCCAGAGGCAGTGGCGGCTTCAGGGGCCTTGCCAGTGGTGCTGGCGCCCCCAAGTTCACTCCCTGGGACAGTGGCCTTCCAAGGGGTCCTCCCAGAAACGGCAGCACTCCCAGGGGCTTTGCCAAGGGCAGTGGCGCGTCCCCAGTGGCTCTGCCAGCGACAGCGGGGCTCACATGGGCTCTCCCAAGGACACTGGTGCTCCCAGGGTCTTGTCAGGGACGGTGGCGAACCCAGGGGCCCTCCCAGGGACAGCGTTGCACCCAGGGGCCCTCTCCGGGATGGTAGCCAGGGACAGCAGAGCTCCCAGGGCTGGCGCCGACCCCAGGAACCGTACCAAGGGTCCCGGTGGGCCCTACGACATGCTTAACCGTCGTGTCATACACTGTATATTATATACCTCAAGCAGTCCCTTACTTAACTGTGATTGGTGGACTATTCTTTAACCCACCAAATTACAGCCAATAGGAGCAGAGAGCAGTCAGTCAGCACAACACCTCAACTTATGTTTTCCTGTTGATATTATTCTCCATTGCCTTCTCCAGAATACGATGATACTGGAAATGTGATAGGCGGCGGTGTGTTTGGTTAACGTTGCTTCTCCCAGAGCTCTAAATAGAGCAAAAACTACTGCAACCAGGGGCCTTCCCAGAGACGGGAGCGCTTGCAGGGACCCTCCCAGGGGTTGCGGCACCCTGGGGACTCTTCCAGTGACAGCGGCGTCCCAGGAGGCCTCTGGGGGACATCGGCCCCTCCAGGTGTCCTTAAATGGCGGTAGAGCCCCAAGTGGCCTTGCCAGAGGCGATGGTGCCATCAGGGACACTGACAGGGCCATCGGTAGCTCAGGGGCCCTCCCAGGCACGTGAGCACCCCCAAGGGTCCTGCAAGGGGCGTTGGCGTCCCCTGGTTCCTTGCCAGAGACGGTGGGGAACTCAGAGGCCTTGCCAGGGGCGCTGGCGCCACCAGGGGCTCTCCCTGGGACTTCGGTGCTCCCAGGGGCCCTTCTAGGGATTGCAGCACCCTCAGGGGCCTTCCCACAAACGCCGGCGCTCCCAGGCACCTTGCCAGGGGCAGTGGCACTTCCAGGGGTTCTCCCAGCGACAGCGGTGCTCCCAGGGGACTTAGCAGGAACAGCGGTGCCCCCAGGGGCCCTTGAGGCTCAGTGACGCTCCCAGGGACCCTCTCAGGGACGGAAGCGCCTCCATGGGCCCTGTCAGAGGCGTTGGCTCCCCTAAGGGCCCTACTAGGCGCACTGCCCCCCCACCCCTCTCCCGCCAAGGGGCTCTCGGAGGGTCATCCGCACTCACAGGAGACCTCCCTGAGACAGCGGTGCTCCCAGGAACCCTGCCAGGGACGGCGGCGCTCCCTGGGGCTCTCTCTGAGACAGCAGCAGAGCTCCCAGAGACCCTCCCAGGGGAAGCGCCGACCCCAGGGATCGTACCAAGGGACCCCAGGAGCCCTATGGTAAGCTTATCCATAGTGTCATATATATATTACATACTTCCAGCAGTCCCTTACGTAACTGTAATTGGTGGACTATTCTTTTAACCCACCAAGTTACAGCCAATAGGAGCAGAGAGCTGGCAGTCAGCACAACACCTCAACTTATGTTTTCCTGTTGGATATTATTCTCCATTACCTTCTTCAGAATGCGATGATACTGGAAATGTGATGAGCGGCGGTGTATTTGGTTAA